GTCCCTTGCACTTTTGTTTCTGGAAGAGGAAAACCAAAACTTCCCCAGTGCCAAGAGCCTAGCCCCCAGGCAGGGCCTGGCACGGGGTCACCATCTCCTGCCAGCTGGGCACTCAGGGAGACCTTGGGCATGACCCCCCTCAGGGAGCTGGGGAGAGGCAAAGCCACCTTAACGCCTGGCAGTGGTGGGGTGGTGGCCCAGGAAGGTTTCAAAGATGCTGCAGGCAGGAGCAGGCAGGGGAGGTGGAAGATGGAGCTGTTTGTCCTGAGGTCCAGCTGGCACCCGGCTGGCACCTCTGACCCCACCAGGCACCCCAAGCTCCAGCAGCACCACTGCTCTGCACCCATGAGCCCCTGTGCTGTCCCAGCAGCCGATGGCACCACAGTTCCCCCTCATCCCAATGGGGTCCCACCTTGGCCACCCTCCCTGTGTCACTTGCTGCTGTCCCCAACCCAGCAGGCAGCACAAGTGCCTACAAGGCATTTATTTCCAGCGCAACAGTGGAGCATACAGAGGTGTTGGCTGGTGCCAGGGACAAAGCTCAAGAGGGTGAGTAGGTAGGGAACTGGGGGTGCTGCAGGCCTGTGCCCCCCCGGAGCCGCAGGAGCATGAAAATGATGCTCCTGGGCTGGACATTGTAGTGTGCCAGCGTGTGCCAGTCCTCCAGCTCCCTGGAGCCGTATGTCAGGCGCTGCTGGTCGGCAGGTGGGCCCTGCTGGTTGTAGATCTGCTCCTTCAGCTGACGGATGGTGGCAGTGGGCTGCACCCTGTAGGTGGTGGTCCGGTTTCTGACATCCTTCACAAACACCTCCATGGCCTGCGGCTTGGTCTGCAACAGCATCAGCGTGGTGCTGTAGAAGATGCCGTGGGTGGCCAGGGTCTCGCTGTCCTGCAGGACGAGGGTGCTCCCATCTGTCTCCTGCTGCTCCAGACGCTGCCTGTTACAGGGGATGCCCCACACGTGCTCTATCTCCTTCTTTAGCTGCCAGATGCTGATGCTTGGGCTGACAGTCTTGCTCAGGCTGGTGCCCACCAGCTGCCTGATCTCAACTGTTACAGGCCGGGCCGGCTGTGGGGACAAAGAGCAGGTGGGCAAAGCCAGCATGGTGGGGAGCCACGATGCCGCAGGCGCAGGAAACCTTACCTGCACATCCCAGGGCTGGGCTGTACTGACGCAGGGTAGCAAGAGGTGGCGGGCAGCTTCCTGAGCCACCAGGTTCCAATCCTTGCCTTGGCCCAGGATCGCCGTGGGGTCAGCAGGATCCAAGATGATGGGTCTGGAAACACAGAGTGTGGGTGCTGTCATCAGCTCCAAGCAGCGCTGCAGTGCTGGTGTCAGAGGTCCCACCAGGCACAGCCCTCACCGGGGACTGCGCAGCAGCCTTTTGACATGGGCACCAATCCGGCTGTGCTGGAGTGAATAGAACGTCTCCCAGTAGATGCAGATCTCCTGGTGCCGGTGCAGCAGTTCCAGCACCGTACGGAAGCCCTCGGCCATGATGAAGGAGTCACAGGAGCCTGTGCCCTCCTCCCAGGCATAGATGGTCAGCAGCTCCAGGGCACATTTAGGGGGCAGGTCCGCAGCAGGGTACTGTGGCTTCAGCAGCTGGGGAGAAGACAGGGACAGGGGTGAGAGCTGGCCAGGGCAGGTGTCTGGGCAGGAAGGCAGTCTGCCTCTCACCTCTTTGTACCAGTGCTTGACCAGGCGCAGGAGGTTCTTCAGCTTGGTGGGATAACGCCTCACAAACTTCTTCTGCAGCTCGGTGAAGCAGGGGGAGAACTCCCCGGGGTGACTGCTGGCATTCAGAAGCCCCACATACACCCCCACAAACATCTCTGCGTTCAGCGAGGTGTCCCAGCTCACCTGCCCTGTGGAGAGAGAAGGACAGTAAGAACCATCCCGGTGCTGATGTCGCAGCCTGGCCCCATGCCAGTCCACAGCCCTTACCCAGAGCATCGTAGGCAGGCAGGATGTCCACCTCGATGGATCGCAGAGCGGAGAGGGGTGCTGAGTGAGCGTGGCATGTTGCTGGGCCCCTTTTACCAGGGCTCGCTGACGTTCACGGTGAACTTCAGGCTCTGCCTGCAGGCGTGCAGCCTCTCTTTGATCAAACTCAGGATATACACTCTCTCCTGCTTCTGCTGCTCGTAGCTGGAGAAGCAGCTGAGGAAGAGCACCACATCAGCATCAGAGTTGTTCTGCAGGGCTGTGCCTTTGCCTGCTGAGCCGCCCTGCAGAGAGCCAACCTGCCTGCTCAGCCCCTGCCACCATTCCTGGAGCTGCCAAACTGAGGCAGGGCAGGAGCTGGCGCAGCGGGGCAGAGGTAAGGGTGGCAGCAAGGGTGCCAGCTGGCCACCAAGCCAGGCAGTGCTCACCTCGACAGTCTTGTGGATGTGGATGTTGGTCTCAAAGCAGTCCTTCTTCAGGAATTCACAGATTTGCTTCACTGTATGCTTCACCTGCTTGCAGAAAGCCGAGCTGGGCTGCAGGTTCTCCATGATCCATGTGTCCAGCTTTTTGGC